TTCCTCCCATATTTGGGCATACCGGGGGTTGTAAAAAAAAATCTTATATATATATATATATATTTGCCATATGCAAAGATTTTAATCAGAATTTGCAGAAGCTAATAAAAGAATCTGGCACCATGTGAATATTAAATCTTTTGAAACCATTAGAATTTTTTTGGGGTGAAGAAAACATATCCTGGAGTTCATTGGAGCTGAGGATCCATTAGGGTGAGAATGGGAATTGCGTGGAGAAAATTGTCTAAGCCCAGTCATTATTTCAATGTTTATGTATGTATATATACATACACAAGGTATTTAAAATAAACTTAAATGGTTGCTGTTCTGAAAGATAAAAATGCCATGGTATATTAGGGAGAATTTATCAGGTGCATTTAACAATGTGATGATATATAGGGATTACTACATTTTTTAAAGCATTATATTTTTTTATATAGGAACAAATAAATTTTTTCTTTGTTTATATTATAAGTCAAAACAAATTCTAGATTGGAAAAGATAAATGTTCCACTCTCCTTTTAATTTGCTAGACAGACTTGCTTATCCTCCTCCTGACATAAACCTGAACATCTGTGTAAGTAATTTATATATGGATTGTGCTCTTTCATAAATTGGATGAAACAGAATGAAAGCATATAAATTAATGATTAAGTGCTGCTATTCCGAAAATTTCATTGTATCTTTAAAAAAAACAAGTACTTTGGTCTAGCAAAGATTTGGGAAGATATACTATATAGCAGTGTTTCTCAACCTTGGCAACTTGAAGATGTCCGGACTTCAACTCCCAGAATTCCCCAGCTGGGGAATGCTGGGAGTTGAAGTCCGGACATCTTCAAGTTGCCAAAGTTGAGAAACACTGCTATAGAGAATTGAAATCCACAATTTGTAGCTTCGTTGTGAAATTTGTCTTCTCTTCCCTGAAAATATGGTAGAATCATGAACTCACTGATTTTGCAGAAGTCATTTTTGTAACAATGTCGTCATGGTATGTGGTATATTTTTGTTTGGATAATTTTGAAAAAGTATCTCATAAAAGCTTGCTGTTTTGGGATCACATAAATGGGTTAACTTGTATAAAAATTATGCAATAATGTAAGATGTATTTTAAAGACTTAAGTACTAGAAAAGCAACCACCATAACTCTCCACTATTTTGACATCATTTGTAATTATTGGATATGATTGTATTTTAGCAGATAAGCCACCAGCTGAGCGGGCTATTTGGGCCCGGGGTAGATAAATACCCTTTACAGCTTTTATAAGTGCTCTATGATAGAGGCTAAATCTCAATCACTTGTAGTATCACAGGATCTATTGTACTGGTTCTATAGTAAATATAAAATTTACATTCTGAGATTTTTCACCAGCAATAACACAACATTTCAATTCACTTTATTTATCCTACACCGTGTTACGTAGGCATCTGGCATTCCATAGATACTTTGATTTATGTTTTAATTATCCCAAGTATAGAGCTGGTTGGTTCCAATATGTGTTTTACAAATAACAGCCCAAATGAACAGGGGATAGTACTGAAAAACCAACCCTCAGTTTGTATATTACTAATAATTTATTGAGTTAATAAATTTATTGAATAGTTAATCTCTGTTATACACTCGGCCCCTTTGCTCCATAACAAAAATTTTGTTGAGTTTATTGGCAGATTGAACTAAAAGAACTGGCATAGAAAGGGCTAGCTCCATTATACTCATCATACATAGAATTGATTTGAAGTACAATTTCTATATTTTACAAAAGAAAAAAAAACATTATTCAGGCAATACAAATATTGCCTGAGGTGTTCTTCTAAAAGATATTCTTGGAAAGGTTTATGTATAAAGTATGTACATATATAAAATATATATACACAGTATATAATCTATAGCTCTGAGAGCTTTTAAGTCAGGAATGCTGAATATTATAGTATATTGAGGTCAGAAAAAATAGTATGTATGTTTGCAGATACATGCTTATAGTTTCTTCTCTCTTCCACCCCTCCCCACCCTCCCAAATTTTGAGCTATATTATTCTGGCGCTTATTGATATGTTGTACCGTTGTTACTTACCCATTTTCAGTTACTTTATTTCACTGCAGTTTGTATTTGTTACGATGGTGAATTATGAAGTGATAGCAACTATTTAAAATTCCTCTTGTTCCCAAGTTCTTCACTTTGTGCTTTGTCTGTTGGGCAGCTATTCATTTAAGACAAAACAATTGGAAAACATTTGGGTTATATAGAGGGAACGAAAGAGAAAAGTGGTTGCACAATATTTTATTTGCATAATTTTACCCTAAACTTAAAGTAATGGAAAGCATTGTAACTAGAATTTGAAAGCTTACTTAAGCTCAGATACATTTGGCAATGGGTATGTCCATTCTGCAATCTGCCATGTTCTATAAAACAAAACAATTATAAAATTGCATAATGGCAAGTATATAATTTTATGAAAGAGGAGAGCTTTCATCAAAATTATAACTAAGAACTGAATACATGATCAGCAGATACCCGTTTTATTGTGGATATGTACCAAGGATGAAGCATTCATGAACATTAAAAAAAAAAAGCTAGCATGTTAAATGAGAAAGATGCTTTCTACTTCTGACATCACAGTTTTGATGTGTGGAAATATTCTTTTTACACAACGATGCAAGTGTTCATTTTTCCACTTACAGCCTGCAGAGGAATGGGGCTCAGCAGCAGATACATCTGAGTGTATTAATGTAATTTTAAGGTGCTCCTGCTTAATATTTCTATGCTTGGATGTTGTTACTCAATGGACTCACGATAATTCTAAGTCTAAGAGACAGCTGTTTTTTTTAGAGGCACCTACACAAGGCAATACCAAAGATTGAGATCTTGAGTTAGGGGGATTCCAATGAGAAAGGCTGATCTTTAATGGTTAGAATATTTGAAAGAGAAAGAAATTCTAGGGAATGAGCAATAGATAAATATTTTTAAAAGCACAATATTTCCCAGTGCCAATTGAGATGAGATTGTATTAGTTACCACATGTAGTGTTTATAGCATTCTTTGGGATTTCTTACGTTGTATGGATCCATGTTTGCAGATGTTATGCCTATTGATACATGTACAATACCCTGAGCACTCAAAGAGTTCTGAATATTTTGACAAAGCACAGCCACCTTTGGACTGTTAAATAAAGAAATGGTGCTGAAACTTTAGCAATCTACAGCTTTGTAACGACGATTTTCATTTTGAATATAGCATAAACATGGCCAATGGTCAGAAATGAATTATAAATATTTCAATCTCACATTTATTTATTTTTAAAATGCAGCTGTAGCCCCAAACAAATAATAAATATAAGTGTATTTTGGTATTGCAGGTACTGGTTCCTACTAGCCATTTCAAGCCTTTTAAAAATTTGCCTCTAGAGTTAGGAATTCTTGGAGTTAATTCAGAATTGTTATTATGCATACTTATCCCTTGTTACATCTGCAAGGAACCTCATATATCTTTTTGCATCCACTTGCCCACTTTCTCAGGGTTTCTGTACATTTTAACATTGCTACTCTGTGGCATAGTTTTATGTTTTAACATAATTGAGCTGTGTTTACATGTGGTTTCTTTTAAACCCGCAATGAGCACAGGGCACTTCAACACTCTTATGTATCTGTGGAGTTCTCCTCACCTGAATGCTATCTATCAATTGACCTGTTGATCATGTAACAAATAAAATGTTGGGGCATGCCTAAGTGTTTCAAAACCAAGTATTTGCTGTACTTCACGGGAGTATTGTATCATATTGTTCAACCTGAGTCTCAGACTTAGCCAGATGCATTACTGACATTCTGAAAAACAAGCTTCAAGAATAAAGCAAACTGGTTGTAATGACAAATTCATAACAAAAACTATAGGATAGTTTTGAAATGCTTTCTATAAATTGTATGCTATCCAAGTGCCACTCCATTTTGGGGTCATGAGGTTATTTGTGAAACAATACATGGAATGTTAGATCTTTAATTCCATTTAAGATTTTACTATTCAAGTATGATTCACCCTCTGATTTGAGGAATGGGAGAGTTGTGAAACTTCTGATCAATTTATTCTTGTTCTGTTTGGATCTGAGGCTCACATGAACGTGAACTTTCTTTAGAATATTATGGGAGGAGGGACAGCTGTGCTAGTTTTATTTAATAAAATTTATTCTCCCTGTAACTGATTCTTTATCCAAAACAATCAGCAAAAAAAAAACAGGGTACCGAACTTTTTAAAAATGTTTTTATTGCGAATTAAATTACTAGGCAGAGAAATATGAACTAGAAATGGATTAAGTTAAATTGAGAATTCCTTATTATTTTGAAATATCCCAGTTTTAATTTTGTAATTTATCCAGTTGTATTTTTTTTGGTGTTTTTTTTAATTATACTGCATTTTATTAACATTATGTACATACTAACTGCTTTACGTTTCAGAAG